TTGAACAATTAAAGAAGCTTTTTTTTGGATATGGTCTGAAGTCAAGGTCATATAACAAATGTGCAAGTTTCTGAGGACGCACGACAGAGTGGTTTATAAGTCAGACTTAAGTAACCTAATGATTGCTAGCCACATCGGTTCAAACCCTGATAAGGGGAATGTCATAGTTTCCTTGAGCAAGAAACATTACACTCATTGCTCAGTACCGGCTGGTTCCAGGAACGGATTTGAAACTGTGTCCATAAGCTTATTATAAGCTTCCTAAGAAAAGTAACACAATCAAATTAATATCAACTCTATAACTGTATAACTGAAAAGTCCAAGTTTAAATAGCCTGGCTTAGACGCAAAGACATTGACCTTGTCTCACCCACTAAGAAGCTAAGAATTAAAATTCACTGAAACTTGTCAGCTGCTTTTACAGCAGTATTGATTGAAAAGTTGTTGCAGTTTGGCATTTAAGAAATCTAAACCACTCAGCCAAAGACTAAACCCCTGTCCACAACATCACCTCCACCTGTTCTTGTCCATGCCCCCTTGCCTTGGTCCCCTTTAGCCACAGATATGTTTTGTACCAATGGGCAGAAACAAAATAAACAAGTCTTGCTGAGGACATAGATGCATTATTATTTAAGTTTCCTTATATTTATCTAAGTTTCTGCTGACCTTTTTTATATTCGGAAAATATCGGAAAAGTATGGAAAGTGCTTTTACTCTATCTCTACGTGACATGAATATTTAAAATATAGATGTTATACAAGATTGGAGTGATACATCAATATGTCAGTGTCCATTAGATGACCATTGGTCAATACAACTGACCGTAATGGTCAATGTAATTACAGTATGACCGTTGCATCTTGACCTTATATAGCACTGCTCTAATTTCCATAGAGACTATTTTCATTATTTTTATGAACCATCAATATAAAACTTCCAGGCCATTGGTTGATTATAAAACTTAATGACTGGTGTAAATTTCTGACATTTTCCAAGGTTTTGAAATTGCAACATTTGTTTGTTACTTTGCCATTAAAATTCTGAAGTAAAATAATGATTTTAATGGTTTTAATGGTGATAATTTGTGGATAATAAGAAGCATGTTATGTAAGTCTGCACTTTGATGAGGCCCAAGATGGAAGATTGTGAAACTAAAAGTGTAAATATTTTTTCAATATAAAGATATTTCCTAAATTATTTGTTTATTTACAATCATTTCGTTCCTGATGAAAAGAATATGCCGGACCAAATGGTGAGAAAACGAAAACAACTCCTTTCCATTAAATGTTTTTCAAATTGGATTAAAAATAATAAAAAGTTTGTACAGTGTATGTATTATGTACTATACATAAACATCATCAAGCAATTTCCAGTTACTTATTAATAATATAGAAATGTTTAATCAACTAAAAAGGGAAGTACAAGCTTAATCCATTAATTCCCTGGACAGTTTTTTTGACCTTATTCAAATATGGTATTTAATTACACATATTACCATATCACCCCAATAACCCCAAAAATATCATATGAACAGCAAAATCACTCAAATCTCTGGACAACTGTTCAATTTATTCATAATAGCCATGAATCAATAGACCATAAAATCAGGCCATATCTGAAAAGTATAAGTTTGTTGTTACAAAGCCCAAACATTTTATCAAAATTAAACTGTATCAGCAACTACATAATACCCGTATTTAATGAAGAATATAGAGGAAGAGTCTAGGTCCAGATTGATGAACTTTTAATAATAGTTCTTCAATTTATTTTCTTTTAAAATTTTTCAGTATTTTAGCATTATGCTAAAATCCTCAGAGACCTTGACAACATGGGCTTATGCTCAAACCTTGAATATCACCTTGACATCATTTGTTGATGATCAAATCTTCATTGACCTTGACAACATGGGATTATGCTAAAATTTTCAGTGAGATTGACAACATCTCATAATGCTCAAATTTTAAGTGACTTTGATAACATGTCATAATACTCAAATTTTAAGTGACATTGACAACATCTGATGATGCTCAAATCCTCAGTAACCTTGACAACAATTGTTGATGTTCAAATCCTCAGTAACCTTGACAACAATTGTTGATGTTCAAATCCTCAGTAACCTTGACAACAATTGTTGATGTTCAAATCCTCAGTAACCTTGACAACAATTGTTGATGTTCAAATTCTCAGTGACCTTGACAACAATTGTTGATGTTCAAATTCTCAGTGACCTTGACAACAATTGTTGATGTTCAAATCCTCAGTAACCTTGACAACAATTGTTGATGTTCAAATCCTCAGTAACCTTGACAACAATTGTTGATGTTCAAATTCTCAGTGACCTTGACAACAATTGTTGATGTTCAAATTCTCAGTAACCTTGACAACAATTGTTGATGTTCAAATCCTCAGTAACCTTGACAACAATTGTTGATGTTCAAATTCTCAGTGACCTTGACTACAACTGACGATGTTTAAATTCTAAGTGACCTTGACAACATTATGATGCTCAAATTCTAAGTGACCTTGACATCATGGGCTTATGTTCAAATCTTGACACCTGATGATGTTCAGATCCTTAGTAGGTCAATACAAAATGTCTACATACCATATCTAAGATAACTGGTCAATATAAGAAGACACCAAGAGAAATAGTTTGAATGTTTGGTGTAAGAGCAACCCTGTGTACTAAAATTTCCCAAAGCATAAAAAATGGGCGTATATTAGTTAATAGCAAGGCCAAAAGATAAATAGCAAACAAACATTGCGTATAAGGTTAATAGCAAGGCCAAATGATAAATAGCAAACAAACATTTTTTTAAGAATAGCCCATTTATATTTAATATGGTTGGGCAAAAGAGACCTAGTAAGTTGAAAGTACTCAAAACAATTTACTGATGAATATCAATTCTCCGATAAAAAAAAAAACCGTAGGTCTCAATAGCTTGTCAAATTCCCCCGGTTATTTATGTCGTTATTATATCAGAGAAAATAAATAACTTCTTGATGATGATCTGACAGTTCTAGGTCTCGTATTTTATTTTTTCGCGGAAACGTTCATATACGGAGGACAAATGTTTCAATGTAATGAAAATGGAACGGCACTTAACCATTTTAAACTGTCAATGAAATGGTAAGATTTGACACAAAAAGTATCAAATTTTCATGACAAAAAAAAACAATGGCTATTGGATTATGGATTATAAATAGGAAATACCGGCTATTTGTAAATCATAGCAGTAATTTTTTTTCTTTCAGCAATGAAAAATGACTATTACTATAACTATGGTGCTCTGCTATGTAACAATTATATTCTTTTTATTATACATCAAATTATAAGTATTCCTGGATATAAAAAGGTAAATATTTATACAAAGCTCCCTGAGTTTCAGGTTCTTTTCTGTCTACTCGGTTTATTGCAATAAATCAAATTATAAGTATTTGAGGATATAAAAAGGTACATTTTTATACAAAGCTCCAAGTTTTAAGGTCTTGTGAGTCTACTTGGTTTGTCCCTACTTTGAGGTTTGTCCCGACTTTAGGGTTTGTCACTACTTTGAGGTTTGGCCCGACTTTAAGGTTTGTCCCTACTTTAAGGTTTGTCCCTACTTTGAGGTTTTTCCCTACTTTAAGGTTTGTAGAGAAACTTTAAAACCATTGTCAGCGTATCACAAACATTATTATGTCAATTTGGAACTTTAAAGATTATATTTTATCAACACAGACTCTGTGAATGTAATTGACAAAACCTTGACACCTATTTTTTGATTTCCTGTTTCAACTTCCGTCACATAACAAACTTTAATTAAAGTTCTCCTTTATTAATGATGTCTCTGGCAATTTTTACGCCTCAATGACATATTAAACATTTCCGTTTCCAGTGAAATACTGTCAATGAATAACTTTCTCAGAGAAACACAGAACAAACCTATCTGGCCAATCATTGATTTAGCTTTTGTTTAAGACTACTTATTTAACATTGATTTGTCAAGAAGGAAGTTTTCCTAGTATTTTAGATTTTTCTAAATACCTCTTTCTTAGATCTATGACAGACATTATGAGTTTGAAACAAACAAACGAACAACTTTGATGGAAAAATTGGTTCTGAACTTCATTCTTTTCTTGTTGAAGTTGCTCACTGAATGTAATGATGTCAACATTTTGTGGGTTTCAGAGATCGAAAATTCCACTCGTTCGCTAGTATACTAATATTACGAGTAGAATTTAAGAGAACTCGATGCAGGACAAGTAGAAAATTGTTGCTTCCACATTGGATTTAGAAGCTACTTGTCCTGCAGGAAGAATTACTCTGAAAATATTTTCGATGCCTAGTTTTTTATTTTAATTTTGCACTGACAATGTTAAGGTCATGTAATTGGAGGTCATGCCGAGTGTGTAACATGGCAGAATAGTAATCTAAGGATTGCTGGTCCAGTGGGTTCATACCCTATTAAGGGCAAGCCATGGTTTCCTTGAGCAAGAAACTGCACACCCCTTGCTTAATACTGGTTGGTTCCAGGAAAGAATTAGAGAGTGTTTCAATAAGCTTATTGCTTCCAACACATAAATTCTGTATAAAGGTCAAAATTTATTAAAGCCCTGTTAATTTTTTTTGCATTTGACCTATGGTTTAAGACCAAATGTTTTGTTGGTTTGTGATACAGATATCAATCCTTTTTCTTAAGTCATCACAGCACTATTCCCATAATATCGCAGATGTCAAAGTCAGATAGTTGTACCTGATGGAAGAGATGACCAAGATACACCAGAAAGCAAATTTATAGCATAGGCAGGTACCCATGTAGTACCGAGGGCATTCGGCAGGTAAGCTGAATAATGGGTATATTCACATAAAATATTCAATGCCAAAGCCTGGACCAAAGCCAAACCAGTGATGGGCAAGGGTTTTACAAGTAAAGTCAGTGACTCAGTGACTTTCACCACTTGGCCAAAAAAGTTCATAAATCTCTACAAACAATCATCATTTGGAAGACAAAAACTCACTTTTTAAATTCCCCTTGCAGAAGTTCGAGTCTGGAGTGACAATTTTCGCTCTCCCGGGTCATCTCCTGAAGTCTCCTCTCTGCCTCCACCCGATACATCTTCTCATTCTCCAGTTCCCGTGACAACTGTTCCTTCTGAAATACACAAAACATTCAAAATTTGAACTTTCTGAATACTTAATTAGCTTGGTTGTTTGGATTTGCACTTTTTTTTCTTACTAGACTAAGTTGATTTTAATTACAGGGACTCCTCTGAGGTATTTTGACATGATAGAACTCAAATATTTTTTTTGAAGATTTTTGATATTATTTTGATGACTTCGTAGGTCTACCGGTATGTAAAAACATCAAATCATATGTCCAGAATTATCATTCTTATTGTGAGAAATGGACCTAAAAATTAAAAGCATTTGATTGCTCTTTACCCTTTAATAGGGCTAAGAATTTGCACTAAATATTGATTTTCAATTTCATTTGGAGTATATTTCTTTATAAAAAATAATCTGTGTAAGCTTTTCAAATTTTATGTTTTAGTCTTTTGGATCTCAGTGCAATGACACATGGCAGGTGGCGGCATAAACAGTGAGTGAAATGAGTGCAGCAACATTAACAATACACTGAAATTGTCTCCCTTTTTTTCAACAAATAATTATCTCCCTTTATTGACAAACTAAAACTCCACTAGAGCTTTCAAATCATATACAAACAAACAATTTGTCATAAAAATTGTTTTATCCCCTTCTCTTATCTTACTACACAAAGCATAAAATCAGTTCTGGCCAAAAAACATCAAAGTTTATATAATTCAATATACTACCCAAATGCCAAAAAAATCTCCAAATTTTTCAAAAAATAACTTTCCAAAAATGTCCAATCCATCATACAAACTCATTACAACTCTAGTATTTTATCAAGCAATCAAAATGTAATTTGTTCCACATGATTAATCCTCTACAGTTATCTTTTTTCCCTAATAAAAAAAAACACAATAAAATACAAAAAATGTTGCCATCGGTTACCAAATATATCAGAGAGACACATCTTTTTTCACAATAAAACTGCTTAATCTGTCTTTTTTTTCCCCTTTACATAATCAAAGCTGGTGCCTCTATCTTTACTGACTGGAACTGTCTGATAATAACTTCTACAAAGAGCTATTTTCTTCACATTAAATCACATTTTTTTCTCTCTCTCTCAGAAATCTGGTCTGTAATCTTACAGTTTCATCAAAGTTGTAATTTTAGACATTTTAGACAATAAACCCTTTTTTTCATGTTCTGTGAATTTATGTTGCAATTTTTAGACAAAGAATTCTCTCTTATTTCATTTGAACAATTTTTCTTCTTTTTTTTTCCTGAATTTTTTTTTTTTTTTTTTTGGTTTTTTTTTTCTGAGATTATATTTTTTTTTTTTTTAATAAATCAGTTCCTCTGTAGAGAAGGAGGCTTGATTGATTTGGTGTGATAATTCTAATAACATCCGAGAGGAAAAAACAAGACTGTTATCAAACGTTTCTTTCATTTCTATAATCTGTCTTTTATCCGGATTGCTCTATAAATAGTCTACCTTTAATCTTGACTGAAACATTTATTTTGACAGAAAACATTTTGTTATCATGAAAAAAAATAAAATAAATAAAGGCAACAACAACAACATATAGCTACTTTATCAAGCAGAAACAAACTCACTTCTTTCAGTAATAATATTATTCTCTCAATTTATATTTTCACAACCATTGTATCACATATATCCAAAATGTCATTTCTACATTTCTATAAATCCTGTGCCCAAAATTTTCATCCAAAATTCCATCGGAAAATCAAACAAGAATGGACATCAATATCATAAATAAAATCATTTATAACTAATAACAGAATGTTGTTTCTGATTAATTGCATTTACACAACTCAGAAAGCTTGTTTACCTTTACTCAATTGCCCCCTAAGCAACACAGTATTTTATTTCCAGCAGGATATCTCCTCAAGGACATGGGAAAATGAGTCGTATTCAATCAAACAAGTAGACTTTCTAATAACTTCCCTCCAAAAAAATGATTTTATATTGATCAGAAATAAGTTAATCCAGTGCAAACAGGCAAATACTACATTATCAATAATTGTAGTTTAACGGAAATGACCATTTTTGCACTCGCGTTAATCATAGAAAGTAAATTAAATATTTGTTTGTCAAAAAAAAATGATATTCATCTTCAATTTCTTTCCTTTCACAAGACACACAAAAACTATCTGACTGGTTCTCTTCTTTAAAAGATGTTTTGCTGATATTTAATGCCTTTGTACTTAATAGCCTGTACCAGTCTAATTTTCCTCCTCTGACTTTTGTGGTTAATAAGTGATAGGAATCAACTATTTAGTAATATCTTTAACAAAGTCAGAGTTCCAAGTACAAAGTGATCAGTAAAAGCTTAGATAAACATAAACAACAGTGTTAAAGACAAAGAATTAATAACATTTTCCAGGGAGGAAAACCCTAGCTGTAATGACTGAGGTCTTTATGGTGATATGCAATTACATACAGAGCTCAAAAGAATATAGTAAAAGAATTTTTAGGGAAGCTGAAACAAAGCTGGGGAAATTAAGAGTTTAATTAACAGAAAAAATCCTTCAATTTAAAGAGCACAAAATGTCATCTGTACTGATTTATCTTTGACTTCCTATTTAATTGGTCCAAAAGTCACAATTTATTCTTCAGAAAAAGACCTCAAGTAAATAAATAAACAGCTTTTTTTCAGGTTTTTAGAAAAAAATGTAAATCAAGTGCAACCACTATCCACAGCATAAATGTATACCTGCTGAAATTTCAATCAAGCAGGCCAATGACAAAGCAGAATGACACCAGGACAAATTAGGCACCAATTACAGCAGACGGAGATTGACAGTGTCTATAATTACCCACAATACCTTTATAGATGATGACATGAAGCGCCCTCTACATCAGGATTAATGTCAGTACAAATCAAGGCTATTCAAACACTTGATTGTCTTAAACGGCAGTATTTGTCAGGATTAGAGGGTAAGTAGGCTGAATCACACAGACCACAAAACTGAAACAGACCATTTTACTGCCCTACATAGACAGAACTTCTTCACTGATATAAGGGTGAAACATTTAATTTCAAAATTGCGATGTCCATAAAACATTAAAATGGCACGCTCCATATACATTCTGAATGCTTTGGATTTCTTTGTGAAGTTTAATATCATCAGGTCTCAGTGAGTTCCATCAAACATATAAGTTCTCCCTTCTCATGTTTTATTTTTCTTCATCTTCAACTTATTATCAAATTTTTTTTGTCATTTGTTTATCAGTCAAATGTAAATGAGTACAGATCATGTCCAAACGACATTACCAAAAATTGGAGTTGTTTATTTTTTTCTGTGCTACATGTATGTGAGTTTGTGTGAGTTCCAATGGAGGTAAAGGTTGAAACTGTAAAATACATTGACCTTTGCAGTGACCTTGCCAAGGTCATATGCTGACCTTTCAGCAAGTGCTTGTTCTCAATGCACTTTATAACATGATGATACAAGTGAACATCAGGCAGATATTTGGGCAGAACTAATTAAGGACTTTCCAATTAAACAATATTGATTACAACTTACTCACAAAACAGAACCCAACTTACAAATATCTGAATCAATTACAAAATAAAGCAGTTAAGTGAATCAGCAATTGCTTTGAAGCACTAGGCCTGTTACAACACAAATACAAAAGTACCAAAAACACTAATGTCCTCTTGCAAAACACACACAATAGTAAAACTCAGACCTGTGAGCTTGCCCAACAGGGCACAAATGAAAATATGATCATAACTTCACACCACCAGATTTAACAAGTTCATGGACGGCCCTGGATAAAGTAAGCTTCAAATAAGTTTGGCTAATACACAATTGTCTTTATTAGATAAAACTGATAGGTTATCAGCTGTGAAAGATAAAATGATAAAACAATTAGATTAAACGATGATGAAGCAAATTGAGTTGAAATTTTTGTAGATATCTACTGCAGTAATTGGCCTTAAATCTTCTTGCAGCTGAACATTTGGTAACAAACAGTGCCAGTTTGAAACAATTTATTTATTTGAAAATGAGAGCCAGGAAATTTATCTCACAAGTTGCATTTGAAAATAATATTGCTATAGAGTGATAATTTTCTTATAAATGTTTAAATTAGATGTTATTTTCTCAAACGAGCCAGAAAGAGTCTCAATAGCCTATGATTTCATCAACAAATTTTATGGTTGGTCAAGTTTAAAAGAGTATACTCAACAACCAACAACTAATTACCACCATCCACCAAAATATACCTTCTGCAATCTTTGTAAAAAAGAGAACACCAAACAATTACCACCAACTACCAAAATGTACCCTCAGCCACCCTGATAATCAAAAGCAATCATTAGCTATAATACCCTAATTCATGAGAATACTTTTCTTCATTGGATGGTATATTATCTCTTTAATAACAAGGTAGGGGTGCAGTTGAACGATCTTGTCAAACAATTAGGGTATCTGCAGTGACCATCTGTTGTCTATAGCCTTATAAACCATACAGCCAACCTTTTGCACCCGACTACCAACCACTGAACTTTGAAAAAGATAAAGAGTATACCCGATTCTTTTTTAATCAGATCAAATTTAGGAGTACTAGAACAAATTTACAAGTATGAAGTACAAAACAATAACATTGTACAATATATATATAACCAAAGGAAGTTTTTCTTCATTAGCTCACTTATGTTATGAGTTAAATACATACTGCTGATTTAGCCTTGAAACTTCACTTTTTACAAATTTTCCCATCAATAAAGATAAATCTAAATTAAGCTTAAACATGTGGAAAATATCAAAAGATTGACTAATATTCTTGTACAGGTTTACACAACAAAATTAGCCTGTAAAACTTGTACACATGTTTTCCATGATACCCTTTCTCCCTGTACTATAGGAGGAAACAGTCTCCATTTTGTCCCTATGATACCATACTTCCTCATGGACTTGAGCAACAAATTCATGACAACATGATGTGCAATCAGCTGTGACCATTACAGGAAGTGCTTCCATTTTGATCCAGCTCTAATCCTCTCTCAAAATTTAGAACAACCTCTGCCAAGA